CTAAGTCTGCTTCAGAAGTGGTGATACAATCGTTGAGACCCTCTTCATCAAACCACTGACACCCGAAGGACCAAGTTCTGTCAGTAGTGAAGAGGAAGAGGTTTTCGGAGACATAGATATCACTTATACCTATGGTCACAGATTTCTTACTCTATTTGAGGCAGAATAAGAATTTCCCACATGGCATTGTACTTCAACACTATGGCCTTTCCATAGGTACTAACCTAGCACTTAATCAACTTATAAAGTCAAAAAGGAAAGATATCAAAATGCCATGCACCTCCCTAAAATAGAATTTATCAATCATATCAAGCCTATGACAGAAGCTTTTTACTTCGAGAAAGTGTGTGTGAGAAAGAGTGTCAGAACTGCAAACAATTGATATTTCCTCACTCACTTACGTACAGGACTGCATGGTGCAAAATAAATTCTCAGGTCCCTACCACATTTATTTTCAAAAAATCAGTTGGTGGCACTTTGTCCGCTCTGGCATAGACATTACACTATCCCCACCCTGAATAAAACTGGACTATCAAGCCACACTCCTGTGTCCCATCAGAGCTCTAAAACACAACATCACGGCTACTCAAAATCACAGAAGGCACAGGAATGGTTCTTCAACTCTTGCTAACCTTCATCAGAAAAGGATATTATTCTTGCAAATCCTCTGCCTCTGTTACACCTTTGCCATAAATCCTGTATCTTGGCTTCAGTCACACTAAAATTTTCAGATTTTCAACAGACGTCCCCTTCACTGTCAATTACACCTATTGTTATAGTTGTAACAATCTAGCACATTAATCTAAGATTATACTAATAGTCTTCTATAAAACAGACACAGTAAGTAAATATTAATGGCTGCTAACTGGAGTGACAATTACACGCACATGAGTATAAGCTGGTGTGTTTGTGAGGTCATAATGGAGTCTCCCTCTACTCCCGGTTGCAAGAAGTGTGGTCAGTTTATGATCACGGGAGAACCTCATGGTGCGCCAAAACCGTTAGCTGAGGCTGTAACTAAGGCTAGAAGGCGTGAAGCGACCAAGAGAAAAGTTGAAGTCATCACGGCAGCCAACACCAATCAGGTCTCTGATTCTACCCCAGCGCCCCCTACTCCTCCAGCAGAACAATCATCACTCCATGAGTCTGATACACCAACTATTCAAGCAACAGCAGGACATGATGAAGGCCATGTTTGAGACTTGGTTCTCAGCCTTAAATGAGGACATGGAGATGATGAAGAGAAGATAGACAGCTCCGGCAAAGAAGAGTTCCCCAGTCAAAAGACTGCATGGGGGACAGATATCTGTCTCACACACAGCCGTAGGGCCTACCTTAGCCGACTGTACTGACCAGCCAACTGTCCAGCCAGCTTGCAAGCTTTTCCCTACCATGATACACGGTCAGCTAAATCTCCGCTTTGGTCCCAGCAGGGTATCGCAAGGCCATACTTCCCAGCCAAGACATCGTACGGTCGCTGCATGGACTCCACGTCAACCCATCCGACTGTCCAGACAACTTGCAAGCCGACCATTGACACCGTATGGTTACGGACCGTCTAACCGACTGGCCAGCTGACCAAGACGAGGATTACTGTACAGGCTCCGTTACACAGGACCTTAATCATACCGGAATCCTTGACACCAGCGAATGATGTACCACTCAGGGAACACGTGGAGTGTACAGACTATTACGAATATTACGAGAGACTCCTATGACTATTAGGATAGATCAAGTCTGACTCAATCACAGCCTACTAGACACTATAGTCAGAATGCAGAAAGACTTACTCTCCACCCAAGTCTGGATGTCTTCATAGCTACTATAGGTTCAGCATCAACAGCTACCAGCACAGATTCGTTCAAGAGTTGTTTCTAACCAAACCAAGAGGTTCATGATGTGTCACAACAGATATCTGCTCCCAAGACATTCAATGGCAAATTGGGACATATCATAGAAGAGGTCAGATAAGATACAATGGATGGTTTTCAAGTATCAACTATCAACCTAGCGACTAAGGCACATGGATCTTCCCATCCCCAGAAGCGTCCTGGGATCAGAAGGACTTGTCATATAAACAGCCTCCTAAGAAGAAGTTTTTCCCCTCCAGGAAGAATTTGTTCCATTAGAGTCAGGGGTACAACAAGCATCAGTCTTCTCAGGAATCTTTTCGTCAGTCCGACTACAAGAAACGAGGATCCTCTGTCCGGGGCAGAGGTGAACGCAAATTCTGAATTCCTTGCCACCGACTCATAAGTTATAGACCCTTTCAACCTGGTAATGTCTATGGACTGCGATTTACGATTTCAACATAATACTGACTCCGGGTTCAGTGGGAGGGCATCTTCTGTCATCATTCATTTCATCTTGTCTGAGCCAACCTAGCAGCAGCAGATCTGGCTGCAGGAAGCTACTAAAGAAGCGAGCCTACTTGATACATGGTTGAATTCTTCACACGATTGCTCCTTGAACGGGTGCACCTATAAGTTTACCAGGGATTTGGCATTGGTTCTCTACAATGGCGACAGCAGCAAGAGTTTCAGAACTCTTGGACTATCCTAGTCTCACCCATGATCAACATTGGACCTCAATCACTCTAAGATGGCTCTCAGATTTTGTAGCCAAAAATCAATCTACCACGATGGTGCCTTTGGGCCACAGACACTATACCATTCCTGCCTTGGGACAGACAGTGGATCACCCAGACACTTTTATGTCCCATTAGAGCTAGCTCTCAAGTTCTTTCTCTCAGCTACAGACCCACATAGACGTCATTGAAGGAGACTCTTTATATCTTGCAAGACTCATTCCAACAAGGACATCACCAAGGCTACAATAGTTGGCTACCGTTGCAGCGAGTTATATGCAGGCATAGAATTCAACCCCACGTCTTGGATCCTGATCGGCTCAGGAGATCAGCACCACGAGTCTCGCTTCATGGACGTCCATCTCAGTAGAACAAGTACTGTCAAGCTGTCAGTGGGCCTCACAAAACACCTTCACCAGTTTTTTCTTTGGTGACGTGAGACCGGACCTAGAGGGCAACTAGAGGGCGGGTGCCACGAGGATCTGACACCAGCAGCATCAGAGAGTCAGTACACCCTTGATTATCCTCTCTATTAGTTGTAGGATGGATTGGGAGCTCCTTGAGGATCAATGTTTCCAGTGACCGGAAGAGATATAGAACCGGTAGTGAAGTCATCACCGGAAATGAGATCATAACTGGAAGTGACACCAGTGCTGGAAATAGCAGTAAAAGGTCCATCTAATCAGGAAATGACGTCTTTGGGAGAAATATACCACAAGAGACATTATTATCCAATAAAATGGAAGTGACAAACCGGAAGTGACCTCAGCACCGGTATAAGTGTCACAGATCCAAATTTACTAATAAATGACATCATTGGGTAGAAATAGACCTGAAATTACATCATTATTACTAACAAGATCAGCAAATATAACGGTAATTATAGTGAAGGTATCATATATTTGACTGATTCTTGATACATTCTGAGGAAATTATCGCGAGTCAGAATTAGAATCAGTGAATAATGGTTTCCAGAAGAGATTACTGTCAAGTACACAGGGAGTTACTAGAGGCAGATCCCAAAGGGTCCCTCTGGTATATTCTGGCAAAGATGTAATAGAGGTAGAGGATTCACAAGAATTATTGAACAATAGTTATGATTGTTAATAATTCTAAGAATACTACCTCTATTACATCAGAAGTACTCCCACCCACCTCCCCAATTCATCTACCTCTAGTAGTTAGATGTGGGAAAAAAAGTGAGATTCCCGCCATTGCACACGTCATAGCTTGGGTTACTATTGTGCTAAAAGGGAAAAAACTAATTGTGTGATTGACAGTGAAGAGGACGTCTGTTGAAAATCTGAAAATTTTAGTTAGTGTGACTGAAGCCAAAATACAGGATTATGGCAAAGATGTAATAGAGGTAGTATTCTTAGAATTATTAACAATGATAACTATTGTTCGATAATTCTTACAAACTTCTACCTCTATTACATATCTGCCCAAATATGCTACTGTGGCAGGATGGCCAACATCACAGACAGTTATAGCCAAACACATGTCTCTGCACCTAAATGAGGAAGGTAACAAGCCCTAGAAAAAAGCCTGGTTTCATGGAACTTGGTATCCATCGAAGTGATATCAAGCTTTCAGTGGAAATCTCTCAGTACATTCTCAAACTTGAACCTATGTGATGTACACAACCCGATCTTGAGGGACTGTATTTGCTGGGGCATGTGGTGGCAGCCCAGGTTATATTAACCCAGTAGCCTGACACCCTTTTCTCCATTAAAATAAGGAGGTTGGTGGGGGGTCAAGATTCCAGACACCATGAAATTTCAAGGTAAGTAGTTCGCCTTTTGTCAACTAGTTGGTGGATGGATCACAGGTTAGCATCTGGAATCACATGATCAGATCTTGGGATACTCTATGGCTCAACAGAGATGGCATTTAACATGTACAGTCAATGGGAAGTAACATCACATGTGACATCACAACTGAAAGAGATCACCTGAAGGAAACGGAAGTCAGAAGTGACCTCACAGAAACAAATGCTGACATAGAACTGGAAATGATGCCTTAAATACCAATATATGGAGTTCTATAAGGTGGAATCAGGAGTGCATTGTTTTTCCATTTTATCATATTGTTTGACTTCACTACTGCCAACTACCTGACATTACTAGATGCAAGATCCCACCATTCCCTGGCTCTGATGTTATTGAGGCAGGGTATCCGAGGTAATCATCAACAAGTAGTTATAATTGTGTATAATTCTATTCTGAGAATTAACCTCTTACATCAGGAAGAAGTCTGTTCCACCTCCCCCAACTTTTGTTAAGTGGCTGTCTATTTTAACATTTAAAATTGTATGCAAGATATCCAGGTGAACTAATGTGGCATGGCACTTCTCGTATTTTTATTCTATGAATGCCTTTGGATCATTAAGAATATTTTTCTAATTCCCAAGGTTAAACCAGTCCCACCATGAGTGCCTCAACCTGAAACAGCAGCTGGAGAATGTGAAACAAGCTACTTTACAGGATGCAAGTACGAATGCCCAAGAAAAGCTGAGCAGCATGATCATGTCGATTAAATTAGAAAATGAAAAAGTGAGTAAGATACAAGATAAATTATATTTTTTAACTTATCCTGGATTACTCCATATTGCATTTACTGCTGTCTTTTGACAGAGAGACGAACTGTGTGAGATCAAGCTGCTGAAAAAAGTTGTCCCAACCAGTACAGGAAGCAGAGTCTCACAGTCGGCACGTGACCCGGAAGTCATGACGTCACACCAAAACACATAACTGCTTTGTCACCTCCACGGATGGATGTGCTTTGTATCCCTTTGGGAAATTAAAGCTTATTGTCTCTTTAATTTGCATGTTTCAACATTCATCGTATGCTGCTACTTTGTTACCTGTTTATGGGCTGTTACCTTTAGGGTCTTCTCATTTGTAATTTGTAACGTTTATCGCTTGTTTGTGGCTCTAGTCACAGTAATTTACGGGCGCAATGTTGTTCCCCCCATTTTGTTTCTTTCCCACCATTTTTGCCATTCACCACGTGGCCACATAATTTCGTGTTCTGTGTTTTGAATTCTTTCTTTGGTTTAATACACTAAATTTATGTATTTTGTTTTGGCGTGCTTAAAGCTTTGCCTTTTCGCTACCTTTTCGCGTAATTGTTTGCTCTCATAAACTACAATAAAATATGAAGTTTTTGAGTTACATAATTGCTTCCCGTACTTTGTGGTTTTGCCACATGGTTATGTTTTATGCTTAAAGCTTTGCCTATTAGCTACCTTTTAGCGTAATTGTTTGCTGCTTCCCGTACTTTGTGGTTTTGCCACATAGTTATGTTTTGCTTAAATTCCAAATTTTCTGCTTCACTGCACATGTTGCCGCAGGAACAAATCTGGTTGGGGCCGCCCCTTCTGCCGATACGAGTATCCAGGACACACCTAATGACGCCCGTAACGGGACCGGTCTTCCGTCTCCTCCGCCATCTACGTTGACAGCAGTGCCGCCACCGGTGCCTGAGTATGTCCACCGAGCTTCCCAGCGCCTCCCACGTTACCAACACCACCACCGGCGCCTGAGTATCTCAGACCAGCTTCTCAGCGTCTCTGGTGCTCCCGGCACTCCCGGCACTCCCGGCACTCCCAGCGCCTCTAGCTTCCCGGCGCCTCTGGCACTCACAGCACCCCCAGCGCTCGGATCAACAAGCTTCAACAAGCTCAGACCAACAAGCTCAGACTAACAAGCTGAGTATCTCAACCGATCTTCTACTTTGGCATAAGAGGCGCTATCAGCAACTGCCTCTCCGGCGCCACTGACATCTGCTTCTATTACTGACACCTCATAGATTGTCACACGGAGAAGCAAGGTGGAAACACGTCTTTCAATTGTCACCACTTCTGTCGCTGCTCTCTCGTACGTCTTCGGGATCGTGACTATCGTTCAACTTCCTGGGAGGTATCTTTTCAACCAGTAGACATTTGGTCTGATTCAACTTGCCCACTGGCGACGTTCTCCTTAACCCCGTCGTTAAAAGCGTCATGCTAACGGAGAGATGACCTGCAGGTTTCCATCAAAACAGCTTCTGGTGGACAGCGTCTGTATCAGAACTGGCAGATCTTCACTGTTCAGGCTCGTTAAGCCTGTTTGACCCCTTCGTCATAGGTTACTGGGTACCCACTTCTAGGGATCATCATTGACTGGTCTAGCATATCACAGTGTATCATATCGCTCAGCACTGGCCCCGCCATCCGACGACGTCATCCACTGTCTTCTTCATCAACATCGCCGGCACCAACACTCCTCTACCCTGCCTTAGCGTCAGCATTCCTCAAAGAGACTCTTCCTCGGCGGTTCCGGGGCTCCTGCATTTTTTCGCAAAACTCGGATACACCACTTCTATGTCTACCATACAGTTCATTGAGGATTGTCTGTCATTGCACCTCATTTCCGACTCCAATGCGGCTTTCTCGGCTACTGCCCAGAGTGATTTACATGTCACATGTCAAGTACTTCGACTGTCAACAACTCCGACCGGAATTAGGTCAACTGAGCGGTGTAATGTATTTCTACACATTGGTTTGCATGCTTACATGTATGCATGATGCAACCACTCAACCAGACGCCTGTAGCCGTCCATCCATGTAAAGATGATGGAAATGATAGACCTCCGCTGCTAACACGGCAGTCGCGAGGCACCTCGTTTCATCATCCCCTTGCTATAAGAACGATAGCGCTTATGCAGCGTTCAAGGGATGGAAAACATCGCCTTCCTTCATACGGTTTAAACTTTTAGTCTACGACTCCTTCATATCTTCGGCCTCGGCTACCAGATACAGCATTGATTTTCTACTTCGTCCCACCCCTGTTGACTACTTGCCTGGTATCGTGTCGTCCTCCATCGTCACCTCGATATAAGAACAGGAGCGCTTATACGATGCTCAGGGGATGGAAACTATCACAGTACTTCGTGCAGTACGGCGCGATCTACCCTAACCACAGTTTTACAGATTTCCTCAATCTCCTATGGACACATTGCCTCGACTTCCGACTACCTGGTTACATCAATGCCGCAGTGGTTGATTGTGGAGGTGGTTTATTTTGTCTACATGGGGTTTGGTTCGCAGGCGAGCGCACCTCCACGTATCGTCCCGACGGTACACGATCGGAGGCCCCTGTTGCTGACTTTTCAACTTTGCAGTCTTGTAGACCTCATTGACCATGACTATCCGCTCTTCCCGCTCTTCCACTGCCGCTTCCACCTTGTCAGTAGCTAGTGTTCTGGGATTGCCCACACCAGCCCACATTGTATCCGACTGTGATCCGGAGATCAACACCGTTGGCACAGCAACAGCCTCTTGATGAAAATGCTTATCCAGAACGTCACTTGCTGGCAGAGAATTCTTGGTCACGCCCTGTTGATCATGTCCATGGACAACATCACCATGGCGTGGTGTTTGAGGAACCAGGGTACTCTCCACTCTCCATCCCTGCTAAACCAGACCTACCGCTTCCTTGACTTGGTGGTCAGCCTCGACCTGTACTTTAAGAAAAAGAAGCTCGTCTTGCACTCACCAGGTTGAGAGCATGTTCTGGCACAGGCTCTGTCCAGGCAGGACTAGGCGGCTCCCACCGAATGGAAGCTCTACCCAGAGGTCTTTGCCAGACGTTCGAAACCCCAAACATCGATCTGTTTGCCACATCTCAGAACTGCCAGCCATCGCCTTACATTTCGCCGGTGCCAGATCTGCACCTCACAGTCGCAGTTTTAGTAGCATATTTACATAAGTATGCAAAAACAATATGTAAAGCACCAGTCTGTTCTGATTTCAGCATTTGTTTAAAAACAATAGAAAACGCTGGTCACACGATATGAGAATTAGCCTGTGGTGGTGGTGTTATGCAAAATTATGTTACTTCTATAAACTATGATTAATTAAAAACAAGATGCCATTTTTTGGATGTTTGCATATAATTTCTTCAGAAAATGTTTATGAATTAAGTTCAGGTAAGTAGTTGTAATATTTTCATTCAAAAGCTGGACATATTGATTGTTGAACTGGTGACCGGTCATGGCGAGCACCATAGTCAACTTAATAAAAAACCTGTTTTTGAGAAAAATTATTTCAAGATAATTTTACAAATGAGTAAGCTGAAACAAAGATAAGCATTAAATATATCATAATTATAAAAGTAAAATAAATGCAAATGATATGAGGTAATATTTGAAAATCACAAATACTTTTACTTTTCATTAACGTGGATTTGCGTTATCACAAATATGTAGACATGTAAGTTAATAAAGGGGTAAAATACTGAGCGATCTTTCTGCATTCTCCCAAACCACAAAATTTACAATCTTTCAATTCTTTTGTTTTTCACCAAAATTATATTCTAATAAGTGCCCTCCCTTCTCCCTATTTCTAATTTTGAGTGCACCCTTATGTCAAATACGGTAGTATTGTTAGAATTATTAACAAGGACAACTATTGTATTGATGTCATGTATTGTTTTATAGCAAATTTCACATTATCAACAAACTTGTTATCACCTCTTCATTCACCTGAAGCAATATGATGTAGTTTTTAACTGGCATAATACTCATAATATCTTAATTTTTATACTTATCCTGCATTACTCCTTAATGCACTAGCTGTAGAAAAAGTTGTTCTAACCAGTTGTGAAGCTGACCTTCTCACAGCTGCCCCAACTTGGTTGTAGACCCACCTCTGACCATGGCTCCACCACCATGGCTCTACCCCAGGTACTGGCGTCCAATATACGAGGGGTGTTCATTAAAGATTTCCCCAAAACCACTTAGGGTTATCATATTTGGTTGAAATTTCACATGTGTAATGATACATGTATCTATGGGTTATGTCTGAATTTGCAGCACTGAACTATTAATCTTACCACGTTTACAGGTGTTATGATCGAGTAGGGTGTGACAATGGAGCCAGTAGAATACCGAGCAGTGATTAGGTTTTTATATTTGAAAGGTCGCACACCAAAAGAAACTTTCAATGAAATGAAAGCAACTTATGGGGAAGATGCCCCATCATATGACGTTTTTAAACACTGGCATCGCCAGTTCAAGTGTGGTCAGACATCTGTGGAAACAGCTGCCATTCCTGGTCGCCCCCATTCAGCCATTGATGAGGACACTATCCATCAAGTGGAGACCGCCATTTTGGCAGACCGACGTATAACTGTTCGCCAGTTAGCACAAGATGTCAAGATCAGTGTAGGGTTTGTGGAAAAAATCATCCATGACAATTTGAACATGCATAATGTGTCTGCACGATGGATTCCCAGGTTGCTCACACCTTTCCAAAAGCAGGAACGAGTCAAGTGCTCAAAGGATCTTTTGGACATGTGCCAAAAAAAACAGGCAAACTTTTTTGACAGATTTATCACACAGGATGAAACATGGGTCCATCACTATGATCCTGAGACTAAAGTTCAGTCGATGCAATGGAAGCATGTGGAGTCACCAGAGTCACCACCCCCAAAGAAGGCACGTGTCCAACCCTCTGCAGGCAAGGTCATGCTCACGGTGTTTTGGGACCAGCACGGAGTAGTGATGATGG